CTGTGAACTACTTTCCAAGGAGTCATACTTAGGGCTCGCGTCTTGTGGAAGCCTCATAATCGTATTTCCATTCTGTAAAAACAGTACGTACTTGCGGTAAATGGTACGGATCCGGATGATAACGAAAAAACAAAATTCTATCTAGACTACGGCAACAAAAAGGACACAGTCACAAAAAACGTTATACAGTTAAAACGTTATACAGTCAAACGTTATACAGTCACCAGCTACGCAAATAATAAAAACACCGTAACACGAACGGGCACGAACCCTCCCTCAATGTCAATCACATAGGTTAGTAGACACAGACATCAGCGATAAAAGTAGTAATTTCAACCGAAGCCTCCTTCACGGGTCAACGACACAACGAGTATTAGAATTCATAGAAAAAATTGCTTTTCTTTCTTTTTTCTTGTGTGTTGGTGTAAACGTCGTATAGTTTAAATCCTAAAAAAAGAATGCAACAAATTCTCACCCTAAGGGTGGTGGGTGGGGGGGGGAAAATATTAACACAGTAGGGGTGTCGTGGGGGTAAACTTTGTACAGGGTGCCGAATAGTCACTCCGTTTTATTTCTAGAGTACTGATCTAAAATTACCTAGTTATTAATGTAAAATGACTTGTTGTGATTGATTATCTGACGACGAGAGGTGAAGAGGTATATGTCGGACTTTAGACGGTACTGAGAGAAGGTGGGTGTGTGCGTACCGAGGTACTCTAGGTCTCTGAAACGGCAGGTTACGACCCGGAGATTTGACAACTGTACCACATAAAAAGTTGTGTTTATGTGAGCGGCCCCGTCAAAACTTTCGGAACAATAGTGTCGTGTTAAAAGACCAAACAAAAAGGAATAAACCCCGGACTTCAGACACAAGAAACTACCTCTTTCTCTTTCGGCCTGTTTACTACTACAAACTTCTCCGTGTTTACACTAAATAAAACGAACACACCATAAAACAATCCGTGGGTCTCCGGGTGTCACTCTATTTCTCGCCGACTTGAGGTTTAGACCCCTGGCCGATACAAACACAGTCTCCAGGATAGGAATAGAAGACCAGAGACAACGTCACTTCGTACAAAAGAAAGGGGGATTTAATCCCTCTAACCCTCGTTACTAGAACCTTACGTCCTTCGTCTCCGGGGGGAAGCGTCGTCAGGTAATATGTTACCTAATAAAGGAATGGCTTTAGTACGAACCCAACTTTTTTAAGTAGGTATAATCTCTTTTTACCTGCCGAGAAATATATTCTTTGCCGGCATAAACTTCTTTTTTGACTATAAAACGAAAAAAACAATTTACGGCGGGCTCCGCCGACAAAAAGTCCAGAGTTCTCGGAGACTTTTACTGTAAGCGGTCTGTGTTTAACTCGGTCGAAGGAAAATGGAAGATTTTCCAATTTATTATTAGCAAAAAAGAGTTTCGTTCCTATCGTATAAGCACTCAACCTACAATCTTCAACAGTCTTTAGCGATTAAACACAAAAATTAAAATTTTCATTGTTAGTCTAACCTTGCGCTTTCGTTACTTAGTTGTGTCATTTTTTTTTTTACATGTTAATAGATCACAGACAGGTTTTTTTTCTTTTTTAATCAATATTTATAATCACAGCAACACTCTGCACAAAATGAGTCCTTCTGCAATCAGGTTTACCTCACGTGCGACTTCCTGGAGTACAAGATCCAGGGCGTGATTGCAACAGTGTACATACAGTGAGTGTGGGCTCGCTTCTTTCAGACCGGGCCTGAACACCGGACAAACGGCCTGACATATTGCGGCACCATCAAAGCAATACCCCTGTAGATGAGCAATAGGAATGTTCAGTCTCAGTAGAATGTCTTTCAAACAGGTAAAAAGTGTCTCTGCTGTAGTGTCTGGGCAGTTGTAAAATCCTAAAAAGTCACAGTGCGTCTCCAGATCCTTGTCCACATACTGAAGGCAGCAGGAAAACTGCTCGTCAGTGCTGATATCGGTTGTACCATCAGCTGTTAGTCCGTAAAATTCACTGCCAGACGCACGGGAAACTATTGTCCTTTGAACAGAATGCGCAAATTGGGAGATAATCTAATTTTGTATGGTGTTGCTGACCCAGTTGTCTCGCCTCATAATGCATTCTCTTTCCTTGGGTAAGTTATATGTCCTTTCCAACATCAACTCTTAGAGAATGCCGTCGCGCATTGTGTCTCCTCTAAATGGCAATCCCTTTCTTCCAAGAAAGGAAATCGAACGGAACAAAATCTCCAGGACATTTCTTGCCGTCTGTTGTCTTTTAACTACACCATCTGAAAGAAGTGCAGTTATTGGAGTTTGCTGTAATCCAGAAAGTTTCCTGATTGCCTCTGTGTGTATAGCCGATTTCTCTTTTTGCCAGTTGGAAAATCCCCTCCCCACAAAAAACTTAGCACCATGGTCTGACTCTGAAGATATTAGTTTTTTCTGCATAGCCTGGAGGCATGCAAAACATGCTTTGTTTCCCGAGGTACTTGGGCTTGAGCTATTGCTTGGCATGCTGTCCGAGGTTGTGTTGCAATCAATTTTACATATTTTTGAAGGATTCAAAAATAAATCTAATATTCGCTTTTGTGCCGCCATTATAGTATGTCCTGTTACTGTACTTGTACTGTACTTAACTTGTCTGTATGTGCTTGACGTCATTTCCGACCAGACTCAAAATGTGTAAAATAAACCACATCCTATAATTTAAATATTGTCGGTATATGAACATAATCAACACAATTGAATGAAACTGTTTTTGTATTATTATTATATTTTTATTATGTTTTATTTAATATTGTGGAAGTGCAGATTCCCTGTCCTCCACCAGGGGGTGCTGCAGCACCCTCAGCACCCCTACTTCCCACGGCCCTGCTCACTGATGAGCAGTTTTCGCACTTTTCCTTGACTATTTCTTTCGGACGCTGTTATCTTCTTGATAAGAACCATGGATCCTCTTTTTGACCAGCGGTGTATTTCCTGTTTCCATGGACTTAAAGGTGGAACTCCTGCTATTATAATATAATCACATTTCATTTGTGACATTAATCCTGAAATAGTGCATCAGCTCTTTTAAGCTGAGGCCACTCTACCAAATGTAGACTACACAGGAGAGGAGAGTGAAAACTAAATTACCATTGTATATACTATTTTTATTTTTATTTTGTACATAATGTTGAAATCTGCAGAAAATGATTCAAGATATCATATAAAGGCTTCATTGTCTTATAGCTGTCCATAGCTACAGGTAGTTTCGTCCATGAAATTCCAGCTCCTTTAACAATGCAATATACATAAAACATAAAAACTAATTCAAATATAGTACGAAGAAACACGTAAACGATATATATATATATATATATATATATGTCAAATAAAATAATATAACATATAAACAGAATGTAAAAGGACATACTGTATCGTGGTTTAAAAAAGCTTTGTAACAATATATAAATAAATGTGTAGACTGTAAAAGGATGTGTTTCAACGGAAAAAGGTAAAGAAAGTTCATTCAAAAGGTACATGAAAACCAGCCTTTCCTCTGATGTATACATGTGATTCACGACTTGGGTCTTGTGTGGCAATTAGCCTAAAATTCAAAACATTATAGTGGTTTTGCAATTAATGTGTAATGTGAAAGGGACAAAAAGAGAAGTCTTTGATTCCACTGAGCTATAAATCCCCTTTTACCTTATTTTCTTCCAACAGAGCTTAAAGACTGTTCGGACCTCATGTGTCAAGTTGTCGAACAATAATCTAATAACAACTTTACAAAGGGATAATCTGCAAGTCCTAGCCTCCAAGTTAAAACCATAGAGTGTAAAAAGGTTAAAACAAAATAGACAAGTATTAAGCGTTAAGTGGGATAATATTGTAGAACAAACGGCTTCTGTTTGAGGTTGATAAAATAAGGTCATCCTTGTAACTTAGAGAGATATTTTATTATGTAGGTAGGAACTGTATGCATCGGTAAGGTTAATTTAAAGGTCCCATTTCATGGCCATTTCCACTGATCATAATTCCATTGTTGAGGTCTACTAGAATAGATTTATATTGTGCAATTTTCCAAAATCACTTTGGTTTCTCATACAGCATCTCTGTAAACTACGTGTATTCACTGAATTTCACTCTCTGCCTTTAACGTCCATGGGCCCCTGTTGTAGTTCCTGATTTCCATTATCTTATCCTTCTCCTATATGTGTGCAAATTTTAGTGAAGTGTTTCAATGGCATAAACGTTATTAGTGATGGATATTTGTGATGATAGACATTCCAGAGTGTAAGGCTTGAGGGTTTCATGATAAATCAGCTATTGATACAATGACCAGAATGCGCCAATTCGAGGCGTTAAAATGTGGCGTGATGTTACATTTAACTCAAAATACCAACATGAATGTCAACCATTTAATGGCTAATGCAATTGTTACTTATGGTGTTGTTAGTTAGACAGGTCATTCTAAAGTAACTTGTACTTATTATTTTAGCCAAATAAACATAAACATGGAACTGCATACATAGTTACATTACATGTCTGTAAGTGTCTGCTTCTTTGACCAGACAACTATAGACATAAATCAACATGTATACTACCAGTTTTACATGTAGTAGATACTCCTTCACAGGTCAAAGAATATTCGATGGGTGGCAAGTCTAGTTGATTTAGTGCTACCATTTTACCCGAGTATTATTATCATCGTTTATACTCATCGAGCAGTGACTTGCCATGCACCTTCATATGTCCTATACATTCATCTTGAAGTTTGTACCGGTTAGTGATTATAAAGTCCATGACCATTGCCTAAACAAAACATTGTCAGTTCCTCTTCATCATCGTGTCAGTACTCCGTCCAGTCCACTTGCGACTTTGTCGCTCATCTCACTTCTCTTGGTTGTGCATCCAATTCAAAGAACCAATAAAATAAGACCATGGAGAACCCTATTGACTGTGTTTTGAGATCCCGTTCTTTCGCAATCTGAAACACATAGATTCGTGGGAGAACCAGAACCAACCTTCCTCTGTCGCCTCAGTGTCGTCGTGCCTTGCACAGATGCCGGGCAACCCTTCAGCTTGGTTCTCCAGCACACACAGGGCTGGAAGTTTGCCAGCGATAGGCAGGTGACACAGTGTCGCGCGGCCGACAGACTCAGCTGCATACTTCATCACGGAGTGCGCGTCGAAGTCGGCTCCAGGTGAAGACTCCCCCTGGACCACAGAAGCCCAG